ATTTGTCACACAGCAATAACTAAATAATACAAACCAAGAAGAGTGCCTAGAACATGAGAGGGCTTCGTTAACAAACGAGTAAAAGAAGATCCATGCCTCTAGGTACTTGGATGTGGTCGTCCTGGTGTCCAGTGGGACTCTTTGATTTCTGGAGATGGTGTGACAGTTTTCAGACATCCGGGACAATGGAGCTGGAGCTCTCCTCAAGAGCAAATGAAGGGACAGACCAAAGAAGCTTCCCTGCATGAGCCTAGATCCAATCCAAGAAATGTAGCTGAGACGGAAGAAGTGAGGTCCACCAGAAATCCTCTTGAACAGGATTGGATATCTGGGAGATACCATCCTGTGAGTCTCCTGAGGATGGACAATTACACACCTGCTCTGGATTAAACAACCTGCTCAAGAATGAATAAATAACCCTTGAGAGTGCCTAGGCGGCTGAGTCAGTTGAGCATCTAAGCTCTTGGTTTCGGCTCAGGTCATGATCTCACAATTCATGGGTCTGAGCCTTGCATCAGGCTCTGCACTGACATTGAGGAGCCTGCCTGGGATTCTCTCCCTCTGTCTCTGCCCCTCCCTTTCTCTCTCTTTCTCTCTCCCTCTCAAAATAAATAAATAAAACCTTTAAAAAAATCAATGAATAAGTAATCCTTAGTCTGGAGGGAGACACTGATTAGCTTCCAGGTTTCTTGTTTCTGAGGGGGTATGCAGAACTGGGTAAGCTGAGACCTTCATCTGAATACATGTTTCAGGAAAACCCCAAGTTACCTGCCTGCAGCCCCCACTTGTCTGACCCCCTCCCCAGTCTCCACAATCCCCTATTTGATTCTAAAGTCAGATCCTTCTCTTCCCACAGAATGGATTCCAAAGTAGCTACTATGGTGATCCACCATGTTTTTCTTATTTTCAACAATATATTCATGTAATAATGAAAATTTTAAAACATACAAACAATTTGAACGATTTTTTCATCGAACAGCGATGTGCCTGTCACACAGGTTCTACCATTAACATTTTACTAGATGTAGGAGTTTCCTATCACTCGTATGACAAATTATCACACTCTTCGTGGCTAAATGACACAAATTTACTATCTTACTGTTCTGGAGGTCAGAAGTGTGATGCAGGTATTCCCTGCACAGTGTTGACAGGGTTGTGGTTTTTTCTGCAGGCATGAGGAGGAATCGTGTCCTTGACTTTCCAGCTTCTAGAAGCAGCCCATATGCCATGGCCTTCCCTTCTTTCTGTGTGCAGTCTTGCTTGCTTGCCTTTCTGTACACAGGTGTTGATCCTGATAAACTTTGTGCTTGCGAATCACCCTCTTAGTCGGCTTCCTGCCGAACCCAACCCCAGACACCACACTCTGTCAAATCCTGCTAGGAGCACAGTGCCTTACCCCCAGCTCATGAAGATCTAAAATTACATTCTGGAAGAATCCAAAGATATCTATAAGAAGGAGAAGGAGAGGGAAGAAGAGGGAAGAATAAAGGAGAAGAATAAGGAGAAAAATAAGAAGACAGAGAAAAGGAAATGAAAAAAGAGAAAGAAGGAAGGGAAGGGAAGGGAAGGGAGGGAGGGAGGGAGGAAGGAAGGAAGGAAGGAAGGAAGGAAGGAAGGAAGGAAGGAAGGAAAAGGAGGGAGAGAAGGAAGGGAAGGAAGGAGTGAAAAAGGAGGGAAGGAAGAAAAGGGAGGGAGGGAGGGAAGAAGGAGGGAGGGAGGGAGGGGGGGGGGGGAGGGGAGAAGAGAGGAGAGGGGAGGAGAGGAGGGACCTACCTTCATTCAGTAGGATGTTGGGACAAGTCTATCTTTTGTAGATGGTGGGTCAATGTGACTGTGAGTCTTCTTCAGGACAGATGTTCTTCCTTAGGACCATGAGGTTCAGTCCACATTCAGGCATTCGGGTGTTAGCTGGCTTTCACAGTGGAAATGGGGATCCTGATGGGGTGAACTCTGCATGTAAAGCTTTTCTTTTTACTTCTTTTCTTGAGTAATGGTAGACTTTCTCAGAGTGTAGTTTGCTATTTAGCTCAGACTAGCTTCACCTGGACCAAGTCAAAATGACAAAAACCAATAATCATCTCTAGTCACTTTGTTGGAAAATGGAGAGAACCATTGAAATTTTCTGTCCACATACCAGAAAGTAAGAAACAAATTGCTTACTGATAGCTCTATCATCTATCTATCTATCTATCTATCTATCTATCTATCATCTATCTAGCTATCTAGCTATCATATCTATCATCTGTCTATCATCTATGTATCATTTCTATCATCTATCCATCCACCATATCTATCTATCTATCCATCCATCCATCATATCTATCTATCTGTCTATCATCTGTCTATCATTTCTATCATCGATCTATCCATCATACCATCCATTCACCCATCCATTCTATCTATCTATCTATCTATCTATCTATCTATCTATCTATCCATCCACCCATCCATCATATCTATCTATCTATCTGTCATCTATCGACCCATCATATCTATCTATCATCTATGTATCCATCCATCTGTCATCAATCTCTGCATCATCTATCTTTACCTATCATCTGCCTACCTACTAAATTAGTAATTATTAATTATCTCCCTACCTATCATCTATTTATCTATGTATCATCTCTCCATAGATATACCCATCTATGTTAAATACACAAAAATCCCACCAGACCTCCTGATTCTTTTCCTCCCTGCGTATCGCATATACAATCTATTATTAGATCCTGCCGGCCCTATCTATTTTCTACCTGGCTACCACTGCCACTCTAGCCCAGATGGCCTGGAGCTCTAGTTCCTACACACTGTGCTAGTCTGTCTCTTGCTGCATCACCTCGCACTTCCCTTCCTACTGTACATTCACACTGCAGACGGAGTGATTTTTTGGCAGAAACACATCTCAGCTTAACACCATCCAAAGCCTTCGCATTCAGCCCAAGAGAACATGCAAACTTGTTCCCAAGATCCCAAGGCTCTGAGTGGCCCCTGCTGCCTTCTCCCCTCTTGAGCCTCCTCTCTTCCTCCTCTCTTCTCTGCTCACTGGCCTCTGACTGGCAGCCCTTTCTTCTGCCCTATTAAGCGACAAGCCCTCTTCCCCAGGCTCTGTGTCTGCCTTGCCCTGTCTTCATGAGGACAGTCTGAGTGTTATCTGTGCTGGGGAACCTTCTCCAACCACAAGTTGAGAATATCACCTCCACCAGCCAACTTGGAATCACTCTTAATCTCCGGGGGACATTGTGACTATCCCATTTCTTTGTTTCAAATTCTCCATCACATGAAGCAGCGCGGTGGCATAAATTATTTTGCTCACATATCTATCTGCTTATTGTATGAATAGGCTTCATGACAGTGACACTCCCTGTCCTTGTCACCACCCTCTGCCGGCACTTGGAACATCTACCAATACATAGTTGGTGTTCACCAAATACATTATTGAATGAAGGGTTGATTCTTTGGTTATGAAGTAAGGTAACACTAAGAAAATGAAATTACATCCAAATGAGGTTTTATTTTCTCTAAAAAACACAGGCTTTAGAACCCAAAGTGTAGTCAAAGTGTTAAGAAAACATTGGTCTGCTTCAAGATTCATGAATATAGCTTTCCCCAAGATTTTGGTGATAACAGCAAAGATAATCCTTGAGTCCAATGATTGAAGTAAGTACAAACAATTGGGACGCCTGGGTGGCTCAGTCGGTTAAGCGGCCGACTTCGGCTCAGGTCATGATCTCGCGGTCCGTGAGTTCGAGCGCCGCGTCGGGCTCTGTGCTGACAGCTCAGAGCCTGGAGCCTGTTTCAGATTCTGTGTCTCCCTCTCTCTGACCCTCCCCTGTTCATGCTCTGTCTCTCCCTGTCTCAAAAATAAATAAAACGTTAAAAAAATTTTTTTAAATAAGCACAAACAATTTAAGCATGAGGATATATTAAATTCAATCATCAAAGACAATTCGTATCAAGTATCAAAGACAATTTAAACGAAAGTCGTTAATGACCACACTGTGCCATCCTCATCAAATAAGAAATTATGTTTTCATTTTTGGTCCGAGGTTATTATGCCATAAACACTAGGAAATTGTGTAAAAAGAGTTGCAGGGAAAAATAATCACCTACAGTTACATGAAGGATTCTGTAGCACAGGAAAAACAATTTTCCTTCTACCACTTAACGTTTTCTTCTGAGACCCCTGTAATAAAAGACAGGTTAGCAAGAGAAAAACACACAGAAGTTTGTTAACAGGTCTATCTCCTGTATACATGGGGGATACCCAGGAAAAAACTCAGAGGGGTGGCTTTAGAATTTAGGATCTGAATAGGGGAGGGGAAGGGGGATGTAGGCAGGGAGAGTAAATGATTTTAGGAAAGATGACTGGGCCCTTGGAAAACCAGGTGGAGGTAGGACAATTTCTGACCGAATTTGTGTGCGGGTAAATTGGAGGTCGAATCTCCTCTCCTGTGACAGGAGACCATCTTCCCAGTTGATGACACTCCCAAGGAGGGCGCCCATGACAGTTTGCGTTCCTTTTGGAGGACGTGTCTTTAGGCAAATGAGGGAAGTTCAGGGAAAGCCTCTCCCTTCACCTGCTGGTTTTCAAATGGCTACAATTCAAAATAATCAGGATAACAAAGTGGTAAATTTGGGGGTGGTTGTAGCCATTGAAGTGGCTTCAGCACTAATGCCACAGAATTAAAAAGTAAGGAACAGTATTCCACAGCACAAAAAGCAAAACACAATAGGATAATAAGAGACCAAGAAATGGGGACATTCTCTTGAACAGTGACACAGACTTTCTGTTTCCTCACTGGGTGTCTACCTCAGAAAAAGAGGCAAAATGCAATGCATCTCACTAGATGGTCTGTACCAATGCTCACAGCTACACATGGCAGGCACCTAGATGTTTCTGCTTATATTCAGCAACCAGCCCAAGGTCTGAGCGGTAAACGTTTGAGGCCGGAGCAAGTTTTATTGTCTCTTGTCATGATTTACCTTGTGTTTTATGTTAGGTAGCCAGGATTCTGACTACGTGTTGGTTGATGCTCGAACAGATTTTTGAGCCACCATCGAATCATTTCTGAGGTCCGTCTACCGAGATCAAGTCCCATAAAGCAGGTAAGCCACGTGAAATTTGACCAGCGCCATACTGACAGGCTATTGTTATATAATCTTCCGGTGTGAATCAACCTGAGCGTGAGGTGGGGAGAGAATGTTCAAGACAGAAACGGAGAACCTGCTGGAAATGTATTCCATCACAGTGCAGAAGAGGAAGTTGAGAAAAAAAACATAGGTTTCGAAAGGAATAATAACAACGATCTTTTTTACCTCCTGGTATGATTTAGGAGGTGCTGGGAGTGTTTTATAAGATCCTAAGGAGCAAGTCTCAGGGATTAGGTGGGTGTACTGAATGTGGGCTACAGATAAGAGGCAGTAAAGGTGGCCCAGATGAGTGTGTGAGCCACACCCGACTTTTAGAAAGCGATAGATGCTTTAATCTGGCCTTCAGAAGAGTGCAGTGTCCACTCCCATCTTACATGGAAGTCTGCAAATGCAAAGGCTCAGGGTATCAGAGAACATTTGGAATATCTGAAATCTGCACTAAGACTTTTGTCCAGAGAAGGGTGGGTGCTATTGCAAAGAATCTACACACGGTAATAGAAATGATTCACCCAGATGGTGTCTTTTTCTTTAGTTCTTCCCCTCTCTGTTTTGTTTTTTCTTTGGAGACACTGCTGGGAATTTCACCCAGACAAGCTGTGATCTATAGAAGACCAGTCCCTATCTTATTTAGTACGTTAGTCTTCTTGAAGTGCAACTCATGGTCTTAAACAAATACCTTGCGTGTTTCTATGCTTAATGTCTGTTTCTGCTTCAAGATTTTAAACTCTAAGAGCTGGGCATTGAGTCTCTCTATCTCCCTATTGCTATGTGCCTGGGGTCGAGCCTTTTTGGTTGGGCACGTAGTAGATGATTGATGAACGGGTATTGAAGAAGTGAATGAAAAGTTAAATGGCATTGAGTTGACTGTTATATGAGCCAAGAAGAGACAATAGCATAAACGGTATGGTGTCTTAGGGAGAGAGCAGTGACCTGAGTATTCATGAAGGTTGTTGGATCTTGGTTCAGACCTTAAATGGTGGATGAGATTTACAGACAAAGACCCTGAATGTCACCAGAGGAACGTGAACAAGGTGTATTGTGATTACATCATGGAGAATCTGTTCTGAAGTAGAAGGGAAAGACTCTCAGCCCGTTGAAAGAGAGACAGAGATGGTGGTAAGATACCAGAGCCCTACAAGTGCTTTGCCATAGGACCGACATCCATTTATAACTGATGCTGGTCAGTTTGTCCTTACATACACTATATATCCCTTATAAAGTTATTAGGAGTTTTTATTTGGTGGGGGGGCAGGGAAAGTTGTGATGGAAATATATCATGAGTGAAGAGTTTGACATGTTGCCAATTTCTTGCTTCAAGTTAAGACAGCAACACAAGTTACAGGGCACCTGGTGGCTCAGTTGGTTGAGCATCCAACTGTTGGTTTCAGCTCAGGTCATGGTCTCATGGTTTGTGGGATCGAGTCCTGCATCGAGCTCTGTGCTGAGAGCAGGGAGCCTGCTTGGGATTCTCTCTCTCTCCCTATCTCTCTGCCCCTCCCATGCTCATGCTTGCTCACGGTCTCTCTCTCTCTCTCTCCCTCTCTCTCAAAATAAATAAATAAACATTAAAAAAAAAAAACCACAAGTTTATAACATTAAGGAATGAAAGGGAAGTTTTTTGCCAGTAAAGTTACCTAATGACTATTGGTTTCTCAGGAAGAAATTTCAAACCTACCAGAGGTGTGTGAGATCAGAACACCCTCCAGGGAGGTAATACAGCAAAGGCTCAGGAAGTGTCAATTTCTAGGGAAATGGAAAACATCAATGAAAGAAATATAATTTGTAGAGGAATGCTCAAATATTGAAATTGGGACGGTGTTGCAAATACGTCCCTGGGTAATAGGAAATTCGGTAATGAATTTTGTCACCCATAGGTGAAGAAACATTTGCCAAGTAGAGGAATGTTAAAAAGAGAAGGAAAATAACACCACAGGTAATGCAACGTAATGATTTAGTAATTTAAGCAGGTACTTGTGTAAAAAGGACTGTTCCTAAAATTAGCCAATATTGAGTCTAAGAAGAAAAACGCTTTTCAGCTGTCACTGATTGAATCAAATCAAACTAGAAATAATGAATTGCTCTTTGACAAAACGTTCAGATTGGTAGAAGAGAGGGTGGCAGCCAGTGTGATCACATTCATCTCTGCGAAGGGATTCACATTTACTTATTCACGGCCGTCGTGCAAATTTCAGTGTCGTGGGGAGACTCTGCGTCCTGGCCACCGTTTGGTGAAGACGCCACTGCCCTAGGTTACCACCGCGGCGTTCAGTTTTGTGTCTCGTTCTTTCCCGGACTTTGTGTCTGTGTTTCCTCCGCGTCCTGGCATCCGTATCTTGGTGTAGGCTACTGTTCCCTCCCAGAGAACATTCTCAGAGATTTCTTTCTGAGAGTGTCGGAAATGAGAGGCATGTCTACACAGATGGTACATTCATTTTCACTCTGTGGTCTGCGGAGATTAAGCACTGACCCGACAAAAACAATGTGCCGAGAAGTCTGGGGCAGTGCGTGGACAGAAAGTAGCACTCGCACAACCTGTCAGGAAGGGAGCCTCTGTTATTGCCGATTACAGAATAACCTCGTGAAGCTGAAGTCAGACTCAAGAAAAGCATCCCCTGTTATGTGCTGGGCGAGACAGAATGTGTGGAGACAGGATGTGTGGGACCGACCAAAATGAGCAGGGAGCTCCCTCCCATTTGAGAATGGCCGTTATGCTCTAGAGTTGTGTCCCCACCCCCACCCCCGCCCCTCCAATGTCATCAGTCCGTTTCCCGAATCATCCCGGGAATGCAGTCTGATTCCAGGAGGAGACCAGCCCTGACCTCTGGGATACATATCTTCTCTTAAGCCAACTTACAATCTTGGAGACACGTGGCATAAAACACAAATGACATACGCACCCCTCTCACAAATACAATCCACAAATAAGAAGCCACAAGCACCATGGAACAAAGCGTGCATGCACCAGCCAGTACGTGATGATTCTGGGAAGGCCTTTGTGAAGCCTTTGCCTTGGGGCACCTACGTTGCATGAAAACAGAGACCGTTCACTCTTGAATCCTAAATGGAAAGCGGCAGCCATGTCTAACGTTCCGTACCTAAGAGACCCATGCGTTCCCTCCTTCTTCTCCGCCCATGTCCATTGCCAAATGATTGCCTGGTGGTTAATAAGACTGCCCTACTTCCCCGGGGCTCGCACAACACAGGGCTCGCAAAATCCCCCTTCCCCTAATTTGCTGAGTGAGGGTCGTGGGGCGTGTTATATGTGAAGGACGTCAGGACTCCCTTTTCAGGAATGATGCACATATATGGTTTGTCCCAGGAGAGGGGTCTTCGAGAATCCTCTCGTAGGATAAGCTCCATTTTCCTGGTGAACAAACCAAATCTCGTATTTTGAGAATGCTTGCCTGATCTCATGTCACATATCACAGAGAACATTTATTAATTAAGGTTCTTTCCAATGACACGTTTGTAGATGACCGAGCTGCTGTTCATGGGCTCCTAGACTGGCTGTTGTGTTTTAGAGGACTATATGCCAGGGGAGGGCCAAGCCCAGGGTGGAGGTCACTGCCATATTTTCTCAGTATTGTCAGGAATCTGAGACAGATTTTAAAATGGACCGGGGCCCAGACATGGACTTCTGCTGTTTCAGGCAGGGTGATTCCAGGAATCAGCCACACACTTGTCACACTCTACAAACCCTGTGTCTTCCCTTAGGTGGTACAGACCTGATGGGCTTGTCTGGGATCCGGGAAGCCAGTGTGGCACATTCAGAAGAACTAAGTCCCTTGCAAAATGACTTTCCTAAGTGTTTTCTGCTCACTGCTTTGCCAACTGCGGGCGCTACTCTCTCACATAGCTACTCTCTCTCAACCTGTCAGGGATCCAGAAATAACCACTCCTAGCGCAGTGTCTCAACATTGGCATCACCCACATTTCGGGCCAGCTGATCCTTTGGGGTGTCCTGTCCATTGCAACACGTTTGATAGCATCCCTGGCCTCGACCCCCTAGATAGCGGTACCAATCCCCCGACCTCCAGCAGTTTCGAAAACCGAAAATATCCCCAGACGTTACAAAATATCCACCACGTGAGGCCCACTTCCCCAGAAGAATTATTTCCCATGGGACTTTCTGATGTATTGAGAATTAGTCATCTCAGGCCCTGGAGAGAGACGTAGGGGTCATCTGTGACCTGTAGTTTCTGTTCTTGCAAAAAATACGAGATAAATGTACCCTTTAACCCTGAGGGGATTCAGAGCTGTGGGGACTTTTCCTTGGTTAGTTGTGTAGCCATTCCTTTGTCTTGCAACATTGGGGGAGAAAGGCATTTTGGGGAAAATGTCGTACTCAGGGCCATCTCAAGGAAACGACCACAGGGCACCAAGTTGTCATATCTTGATCACAGAACGGGACACTGTGATCGGTGACCCACAGCCTCTTGGAGGGATATGCCTGTCTCGAGAGAAAGATGAATCTATATAACCTGGACATGTGGCAATGCCAGGCTTATAAAATTTGGATGAACTTATAATATCTTCTGCAGAATAATACACTTCTGCAGTGCGCCATGCCAACATGCCTCCTTCCCTCCTAGTGGCTTATGGTGTGTGTGTGTGTGTGTCTGTGTGTGTACATGCATATATTTGGCCGACAGACTCAGTGGGTACCCACCAGAATCTGACGAGAGCTGTGCCCCCTACCCCCTCTGTGGACCGTGTTTGTGCCCTACACAGCAACTTGGAGCTCACTGCTTCTTTTTTTTTAACTATCTTTTTAAAGTTTATTTACTTATTTAGAGAGAGAGAGAAAGCAGGGGAGGGACAGAGAGAGAGAGAATCCCAAGCAGGGTCCACACTGTCAGCACAGATCCTGACGCGGGGCTCGAACTCATGAAACCATGAGATCATGACCTGAGCCAAAATCAGGAGTCGGCGGCTTGACCGACTGGGCCACCCAG